TGTTGCACCCTCATTCTTTGCACTATAGTCACATTTTTTCTTGTGATTAGCATTAGATAATTATAATTTCGCAGTAAATAATAGAATGGCGATTTGAGAAGTCTATGTGTGATTGAGATAGACGTAGGTTTGGGGAAAAGTTCAATATCTACTTCCCTACTAGCTGGATGGGAACCAGAGAGATTTGACGGGGTAGCTCAGAAATGAAAAAAATATGGCAAGGAGGAATAGAAGCAAAATCCTACCCCCATGAAAATTTGTTAAAACCCATCCTTTGTTATATGACTTTGCTTTTAGTCCATTATTCCTACGACTAGCTATGGACACGCGTGATGCATAGCAAGTTCCCTGATCTCCTCAATACTATTCCCATACCGAGCACCACTTCAGATCCAGTGGGATTACCAAATGGGATCAGTGACTTTACGGTCAGATACCTTCTCAGTCACAGGTAGATTCGGTGCCCAGCGTGGCTGGCTAGTGGGTGCTTTTCTTATTCTTGCAGCATTAATTACGTTGCGATGGCTGACGAGAAGGGCTGGCCAAGCGGAGCGCCGGGAACGCCGGTTGTATGTTTAATCTTCGGTTTCGGTAAAGACCACTTGAAAGCTCCGTCGTTGTAACTTAGCTAGACGCCCTGTCCTCCGAGCCATGCCAGCAGTCCCAACTCCTGCTGTTAGGGAACAATGCACATTCTGCTCGAGCATTATTTCTTCTCTCGCCTTCAGGGAAGTCTCACATTGCCACAACCTCTTTCGGTGTTTTCTTTTGCACTAATAGTTTAGGGTTTTACAACTTCGTAACTCTATTCGCAAAGGATTTGACGTGGGAAATTGTTTTGCAGTTCTTTTAAAAGACATAAGTTTAAGCTCAAAAAGGGGAAAGTGTATAGCTTTACCATAAAATGTTATAACTTTTCAACTTGGTAACAGCATGTAGTTGGGAAGCCATTGCTATAAGTGACCAAATCAATTTAATCCACATTGCTATGCACTAATAAATATTAAACTACGGTTCTACAATTTCGTCTTCCTAAAAATTTGCCTTTACTTATAAAGTTAAGTTTTTTTCAAAGTTTTCTGATATTCCTGTAACATTATTTTGCAATTTTCATTCAAAAAACTGCGGTTTTATAATAACCATCGTAAAAAAGCTTACCAAATCTAATGACCGTTGATATTTATTCATTGATAAGGAACAAGCAACAAAGGGTGGTTTTTTGAGTCAATTACTCTTCAGACCATCGAATCTATTCCCCTTAGGTCAAATAAAATTCCTTCGATTTTTCTTCAAATCGCTTCCTACGGAAAAAAATGTGTTATTCAATTAAGGAAAGTTGTAAATTGAAAAGGGTAGGCAAAGCTAACATACACAAAAAATTTTTTGCCATCTTGGGAGTGTTGAGTTTAGAACAACTAGTACCATCGGTCTAAATTGATTTTGATTTGTTTAATAAGTTTTTGAAAATGCGCTGAAAATTCGTACTAATTACAATGCGCAAAAAACGCGACATTTTTAACTAAATTACTCTAACTGATCAAAATATGTCATGAAGAGTAACAGTTTAAAAACATTTGAGTTTTAAATAAAGACTTGAAAGTGATCGAAAAGTGAGATCATTACCATAAATCCTCAAAATCGTCCCATGAGTTGGCGACAGCAAACCTCTTCCTAAAATAGTGGAAAATATTTGTATTTTAAATTCTTCTGCTCCCGTTGTCATAGAGACAAAATATTTAAAACTCACACCGCTGGCCTCACATATGTGTAGACTTGACTTACTTACGTGAGGTCATTGTCGCAAATGAGTGGCAAGTGTCGTTTCGCAGCTTTAGGAATCCATGACCGAATCAAAATTTATTTCTCAAAAGGACTGAAGTTAAACAATGATTAGAGTGTAGTTTTTCTTTTTTCAGTGGGTACTTCCAACTTCTTTCCCCCAACAAAACATACTTTTCCGCTAAACTTAATTGGTCGACTTTCCTTCAGGATATCCACAGCAAACCTGCTCATCTACAAATTTTATACGCATTTTCCTTTGCTACAGTTAGCATTTCTTTATATTTTTAGATGTCTTTATGTAGAAGTTATAATGATTGTTGATTAAGCAGCCGCATTTTTTCCTCCTGCAAGTTATGATAATACTATTGTTTGAAATTTTGCATCAGATGTCGTAAGTTATAATAAATGGATTTTGCTTTTAATTATTGAGTAGTCTACTAGGTTACATACAATAGTAGAACCAATCAAACAAGTTCAGCACCTAAAAAAGTGTTAAAAAAGTGTTAAAATGCCACTTATCAAGAACGATCGGTATTTATGTAAATTGGGGACAGTGCTAAGATTGACGATCACAATGAAACGTCCAAACGGCGTCAACGATAATGTCTGACAGAAGTCTGTAAATGGGTTAAAGCCTAATTCAGTTATCGTTTATTTAGAAATCAAAGACTCCATTTTTAGCTATTAGAAGCAGAGGATTTTGTCGCATTTTACTACAAAGTACAATCAAAGCTGGAATACACAGGTTCATGAAATTGGGTAAACCTACAATTTGACTTGATTTCTTTCGAGATGGCGTAACAATCTCTCCATGAAGGGGTCCCTTTTGTAGTTGCCATGTAGTAGGTGATGCAATTGCCTTCAGTGAAAAATATGCAAATAAATCATTGTTCGAATGTGCCTGTCATCTTTCTTTTTTGTTTAAGGCGCTCAAAAAGGATTTTTTTGGTTGCAGCGGTTTTTCAGAGAATCTAGTAATAAACTAATTGACCTACTGTGTGCTTCCGTGGCCAATCTAAGCATTAACCTTACATTGTTTAAAACTCGAGTCGTTAGGTATTTATTTCAAATGGGTAACCTAAATGCAAAATGCCAAAACAAATAGAACGCTATTCTTAATGTTCGGTATCCTTTAATTATCGTACCCAGTGACAAATTTTTAATTCTTGATGGCCACTTTTTGTATTTGAAAAATACTTATAGCTACTGCTTGTGTTTTTTAATCACTCTTAACTTTTGTTTAATATATTGTTTAATTCTACAAAGTTCAGGAACATAAATGCCTTCTGAAGTCACCATTAATGAGGTAATATGGACAATAGTTGGCAGACATGCATTGTTCAAAACTAAAATCTTGGAGACCCACCTTGACTCGACAAAGCAGAGGATAAGAACAGACAATGCTGCGATTATGGCAATCATTTTTGCAGAAAACATATTTTTGGAACTTTGTTTTGGAAATTCTTTCTATAAGTTGAAAATTATGAATCAATTGCAGTTGTGTGTTTGAAAACACTCACAAAGGATAATGCAGAAATTGTCAATTTACTAGAAGCTTTCTACTATATAATTCGAAATAGACAAGGAATTGACCCGAATGTAAAATAGGATGAAGGTATACCTCTCCAAATGTAAGTTTTTGGAGAATAACAGAAAATATCTTTAAGGACATTTTTTCCTAAAAAGCTATTTCAGAATTAGCACACAAATTATAAATCTTCTGCTAAATAGGGAAGAAAGCCAAGTTAGATAACATGAAGGGCAATGAAAGCAAATTAATTCTTATAAATAGAACCCCTCTAAGTGGCAAATGGTCCCAGGCGCCTGTTTTGCTTTATCCTCTGCACGATGGAATTTGATTGGTCGCTCAACGTCCAATTTAGCGGTAGGGGAACCATCCTTAGTGGTGCATATGGCTTTCCAATCTCGTATTTCGGTTCTGCAAATATTTTACTTAAAAATTATAGGGCATAAAATAGTTAGTTTTGTTAAAGCCATTCCAAATTTCGAATAAACGTTTTCTCTTCCTTTTTATTAACTCTTGTGGAACTGGACTGTAGGCTATTCGAGAAACACCCGATAGGCATCTTCGAGTTTGCCATAAACAGATGGGAACAAAGTTTTTAAAAAGGCGCTAATTTTAACGTTGTGGTTTGGAGAGATTTCTTTTTATGGTTGAAGCATTCTAAAACAACTTAGAGTCCAATAGTTTTCTAAAAATCAAGGATTTTGAGGAGGATTTTCCTTACTGTTGCCACCGAAATGTGAGTCCTTTTCTACTCCTTTTTATAAATGTAAACGCTGAAGGAACAGAAAATAGAACCACCACAGTCCCGATCTTTTATGGCAGACACTTGCATTAATCAGATGCCTTACTGCTGCACAAAAAGTTTTCAGTCACCTTATTTTACTGTGCTTAAAGACTTCTGCATGCGTTTGGTTGTTGCGGCTTCTTGCGCCAAAAAACTACGTTTGTAGCCACGGCTGCCTCCACCTGGACTGATAGTCTGTACCGGCCTACACACGACTATGAGGTGGAGTAATGAAGCATGCTTGCCATATCATACCGTCACCTTAGCATCCTATTTTAAAGCTGTCAAATCAAAGGTACCGATTTTGCTTGAACACGTCACTGGTCAAATTGTAAAAGGCGTTTGGCTTTACCTTTACTAAATTAATTTATTCCGATTAAAGTAGCTTATTCGTTTGATTAAATTTGGGGAGTTACAGTCCAATAAAGTGTTGTAGGAGAAACGTTTTAAATGCTTTTACTGACAGCTTGATGCATAGGCAAATGTTCACAACATAATTTGCTGCAGGCAAGAAGCATTTTCAAAATATTTTACAAGTATTTAAGTTGTCGTAAGGGTCATGCAAGTGACAGTTTTGGACGGCAAGGGCGTTTTTGTTTTAATACTCTAAATGTGCCGTGAAATTCCTATTCCACTGCAGCTTTTTTGACCGGATTTAATTCCAAATTTTAAAGTCGCCGGAGACATCAGAAGCCATTACTTTTATTTAAATTGTATTAATTTGCTTACTTTACTGTAAGAATTCAGAATAAAATGCCAATCTTTAGTACAACAGACCACTAAATTTGCATAAAGCATCAAAAAAGATGCTAAATTATTTGTGATGCTTTGGTGGCAATTGTAGTACCGCAAGACTTCTCCAAATATGAAAGAAGACAATCCACGGCAGAATATGTTTTGTCAGCATACAGAAGGGATCGACGCTACCGGCAAGATCCGGAGGCCAGCTGATCCGGTCAAGGTACAGTGGCGGAGACCCAAGTGACCCCTTTATTAAGGCCGAGAGTTAAACAAATAACCATCGTATTGCAATAATGATAATATGCGTGAATAACTTCTATAATTTTGGTTTTGGGCACATCTCTTGCATAATTAGTAGACTAAAGCTACATTCGCTTGATATATAGACAAAATAGTAGAAACTACTTTAAGTAGTTCACAAATTGCTGGACGAATGCTGCAAAATACTACTAAGTAATTTAATTTATGTCCCTTCCTGGCAAAAGAAGCTGAATAATTATTAATAGCAAAAAGGGAAAAGCGCTTACATTTTCTTTCTGTACTTGTACATAAGGATAGTAATCCGTTGTGCGAATGAAACCGCAATTGCCCCAGCGCAGTCTATTGCGGGTTGACTCATGCTCGTTGATTTTAAGGCGGTTTTTCATCGATTAAAGTATCGATTTTTGTGCCCCATATCACCGTAGGACTGTTTAAATGCGCCAGGTGCTCAGTTAAAAATGCCTTATCTTTTAAAGGAACAAACATCTCTTCTTCCTTTCCACTAGTATACTTTGCTTATACAAACAGAAGGCTTATTTCATACGCCTTTTAATATGTTGAAGCAATATTTGTAGAACGCTCGCTATTTATGCAAAAAAAATCTTTTAATAAATGCATTTGTTACCGACTTTTCTCAATTTTCTTGCCCCAATACATGATGTAAATGATGCCTGCTCAATAACTCGTATAATCTTTCGTTTTTCAAAATTCTATTTCGCCTTTTGCTCAACTCGGTACATGATTAGCCTAAGCGTTATTACCGATTGGAATTGAGTTTCGCGTAAAAACCCCTATGACTGCACATACAGCTCTTAGCATTAGCAAGAACCCGATTGAAAAATTCTACTTTTTAGTAAGAGTTGCTAAGGTCCTGATTGATTTTAGAATGACCGAATTGTATCCATTTTAATCTTTTTATGGTGATTGACCCAAACGTCTGATAAGTTGCCGTGAGACATTCATTTTTGTTTGTATTACCAAAATGTAACTTCGTGCCTTTTAAAAGCGAACATTAAACTATTTAAAGCAGTTTATCAAAATTCATGGTTTCTTCAAAGAAGACTTTTCTCTCTTGATTACAACAGATAAATGCATCATCTCTGTAAAAATGTATTATAGTTCTGTAATACTTATGTTGTTTTAATGTGCCTTTCAGGGAGGAGGCAAG